CAGGCTGGTCTCGAACTCCTGAGCTCAAACAATCCGCCCGCCTCAGCCTCCCAGAGTGCTAGGATTACAGGCGTGAGCCACCGCGCCCGGCCTCACATTCTTATTTATCAAACCTTTTTCTTTTTTTCATAAGTTCCAGCCTTTGAAACCTTTCATGCAAAACATCATTATCCACCCAATAATCAAATCCAGAGGGAATAAGCATGCCAACTGTCCTTGAGAATCAGGTGTATGAAAGAAACTGAGACAAACGCTGAAATCAGCAGTTTGTATCAACCATTGTAATGTCTTTCTTGCTTCAGCCTTTGTTTCCTATTCAAGAAATCAGAACTAGAGATGTTTCAATTTACAGCCTGTTGCAAAGTAAATTATCTAATCTCCCCTCTGAGGGCAGCACATAACTGTCCGAAATAAAATTCCCCCAAATAGAAAAATATTGATGTCATACTTAAATTTGAAGGCAGGAAGAACACTATAAGAAACAGCCCAGTTCCTTTCAGTAAAAGCATGTTACTGCCTCCAATGAATAAATAAACATGGGGTAAACATCTAATTTCAGTTAAAGAATAAGTGATCTTTCTCATAGAAATGTAAATTAAGATGGATCACAAAGTTTTTTCACATGTCTGCCTTTTAGAGCAACCATAACCAGAAAAACCAACTATAAAAGTCTTTACTCTAAAAGGATAAAACAGAAAATTCCTTCTAGGAGTTTTGCAATGGAAAGCTGTGAGCACAAACAATATTGAAAAGAAATGAAATGTAATGAATCTAATCTGCCCACTTCTCTCCTGTGCCTTGATGAGGAAGAACACTAGTAATTTTCCAAGTGCCCGTGTACTTTCACTTTATCTTGATCTTGGGGGAGGAGGAAAGTTAGAAGTCCACGTCATTGCCGGTCCTGTGCTTGTAAGTGAGAAGCCATCATTGCACAACGGAGCTGAAAAAGTATGTAAACTATCCGTTTCCCTCACACACATCTTCGTGCCATAATAGTCTAGACTTTCTGGTGGAGGGGAGAATATACATATATATTGTATTAAATCTTTTCCTGAAAGCACTCTCATTGTCAGAAACTATGGAAATACACTAACAGTTCCAACAGTGTCATCACCTCTCAGGATCAAGTGTACACATTGATCTCAGTCTTCCTTTAGAGCGTCACAAATAGCCCCTTGTTTTAAGTACTTTGTAACTTTCACTCCACAGTCCAAAACTTGAACTTTCCCCAGAAAGTTTAGTTGAGATTGAAAACGATCTGGATAGGATAGACTGTGGTCTTTTTAATGCTCAAGAACTGTTTTGTGGCCGGGTGCAGTGGCTCACGCCTGTAATCCTAGCACTCTGGGAGGCTAAGGTGGGAGGATCGCTTGAGGTCAGGAATTTGAGACCAGCCTGAGCAAGAGCGAGACCCCCGTCTCTATCAAAAATAGAAGGAAATT